TTTTTAAGCCGCCGTTGCGGCTCGTTAAAATGATTAATTTCGCTCTCTGATTATGTGGTTCGTGGGCGAAGGGGCGGGGGGAAAGCCACGTAACATCACCGTCGATGTCTTCCTTCACGATGTATACAGTCCCTTCTACCGGTGTAATATTTCACCGAGTCTGATAATTTGCGCAACGGCGAATCCGTTATCGATTTCCCACGGCAAAGTGGCTGTAAGTAGTTTGTGGTCGTGCATGGTCGGACGTTCCCAGCGTTCGAGCCGAGAGAAGAGATTTTTGAAGGGTCGAGCCGCTTTAAAATTGCAAGCTCGCTGCCAGCCAAACGACGTTATCCAACGGCACGTAGCTACGTATTTCCCTTTCGATCGGTTCCAGCATAATCGAGCGCACAAGGAACATCGGCTACCGATCAGGGAACGATCGAATCGTTTCGCTCTTTCTCTCTCCTCATGGCGGAAACGGAGAAAATCTCGCGTGGATAACGTACCTGCCGTTCGCATTTGGCTCCCATGCCAAAATAATCTCAAGAGAACGAGCCGCATCGGCCTACACCGTTTTTTCACTTGGTCGGTCGCGCTTGCTTGGCCACCCCTCGATCGACGCTAGCGCAGCAGCCTTAGCTGTTGTAGTACTTTTCTTCGGCCAGATCTACTCCCTTTCCGTTCTCTCTTCCTCTCTCTCGCTGCTTTTCTTCGTGCCAATGTCTCCGAGACGCGCGCCATCAGCATAAAACGCGCAGTTTTATGAGCCGTAGCGAGTAGACGGTCTCGTGTTACATCTTCCTCAAATGATCCCTCTTGTTGCCTGCTCTACAATCGTCCCCGCGTTGTATTTCCCTGGCTTCATCGGTGGAGTTTTGGACGACGTGGTCGTTCTTGTCCGCAGCCCTCTTCCCATTCTCTGTATCTCTTTTGATACCCACGCCTTTACTCGTACACCACTGGCAAGTTTTCCCCCGAGCCAGCCGTTTTACCTCTTGGATCTTATCGCGCTTGCTCCAAGCGTGATCGTCCGATTACGAGTAATTTTAATTTCAATCGCCAGGCATTAAAGTTAT